GTACAAACTAATACACTATCAGAGTTTTATATGTTTATACTTCTCATTCAACCACAGTTAAATTCACTCTATCTAGGAGGCTCAGTTTATATGGATAGTTTTTATTTTTTACAACAACAAACTGCAATGAAAACAAGCAGAAATGAAATAAAAGTAACAACTTTATACTTCTTGTCTTTTTTATAAAATGTAAGAAGTAAAAAATACGCTGAAAAATAATTACTCAAGTAAAGTACAGATACACATAAATTCTACTTAAGTACAATAAAGACATATTTGTACTTAATTACTTTATAACAGTGTATGATACACTGGGCAGTGCAGAAATATTTACATTTTCTAACTGAAACCAGTGATATGTTAGACACCATCAGGTCTTAAAAAAGATACAAACGTGAAGTGAAGCCTGGTTTCAGGAGGAAACTGTTTTACATGATGTGTTCTGTGGAGATCAGGAGCTTTATTTTAGTTTGATAAAAACTAATCAAATAAAATGTCTTCAATGTTTGGAGATGCTGGTGGATCAGTTCTGGTAAAACATTCTAACAGATTTTATTCTTGTTAGTTAGAATATATCTGTATTAAATACCTTTAAAGGAAAAATAAAACAAATCTTTACAGCCTTGTTAGTCTTTAGATTTTACACCCTCACACTCTGTATCAGAGGAACACAGTAGTCCCAGTAGAACCCAGTCTGTAGGTACTGGTTCTGTCCTGTGGGTCAGTGAACACACAGCTGGTGGGATTTGTTGCTAAAAGGTTCTGGTTTTATTTCATCAGTCCAAAGCTCATTCACCTAGAGCAGGGCTCTGCAGCCTTTACCATCAGAAGAGACATTTCTGCTCCTCGTCTCACTGATAAAATGTGTCAGGAGCAGGAAAACAAGCTACAACTGGGATCATCAACTGATGGTCCGTGGGCCTTTTCGAGGCCTTTTCAGGAACCTTTATGGACAGTGGAAGTGACATTATAAAACTAAAAAATATATTGTGAATTGTATTATGTATTATTATTTTTGCACATCAGGTCAAATTATGAGACCAGATTCATGTAAACAAGTTTTTATAGTGTATATAGTTTTTTTACTGAATTTCATAAAAACTAGTTCAACTGGACCATTCTGTATATATATATATATTAGGTAGTTTTTAAATTATTTAAAGGTAATTCTGATGGATTTGAGAGAAAGAACATAGAAAGAAGTTGGATTGTTTAAGTAAACAACAGACTAGCATGAGCTAACGTTTTACTTTTTGCATTAGGAGGATGGATCACATATTTGCATACAAATATATTTCTGTTGTGAGTATAAAAAACGAAAAAAAATTAGTTTTCTGTTTTGTTTGGTCACATTTTCAAAGAGCCACATGTGGCCCCAGAGCCACAGGTTGCGGACCCCTGACCTAGAAGCTTTGTGGTTTTTTTAATCCCACTCTGACTTTTTAATGATTTGGTGTCATCCTCTGTTGTCTTTTATCACATCCAGTTTGTGTGAAACACACACTGAGGGTGTGTGTGACACAAACACACACATTGTGTTTTATTTTATTTCTGTATTTTTTCCTGTAGTTGTTCAGATGGACTGGTTTTGGTGATGTTTTAATATTTAAACAATAAAGAAGAACAAAGATAAACAGCTCTGTAATTACTCTTCACCCATAAACAGACTGACTGATGATGTGACACTGATTACAGGACAAACTGTTGTTTTAATACGTCTCTAAGGTCAAATTATTTTGATTTTTCCTTCAGGTACCACCCATTTAAAGACCAGTTTCATAAATTTGTTTTTTATATAAACTTTATTGAACCACTGTTCATGAGCAGTGACTGTCTTCTGTTCGTTTATTTTTGTTTTGTTCCAGTTATTTCAGTGAGCTTTGTGTGGCCTTATGTGTCCATGTTTGTGTGTCATCAGCTCACACAACATGAATGATGGGACCTACAGTATATATAACAGCAGATGTTATATATACTGTAGGTATATATATATATATATATACAGGACATGCCATCAGTGTCATCAGTCTGTGGAAAAACAGTCAAATTTAGAGCTGCATCAGTGACTTCCTGATATCTTGACCAGAGCTCAACCTGGCCTTTAATCCAAGTGAAACCACAGAATATATGATTTAATCTGACACTATATATAGTGTGGTCTCAGAAAGTCCTCACTGTGAAGCACCAGGAATCGTTCTCCCACAGAGACGAGGCCTGAGCCTCACCTCACCCTCTATCAAAGCCCTGAAAGGCATGGCTTTGATTTAAAAGACATCTGGAGCTGAGCTGCAGCTGAAGCTCAGTGTCTGAACACCATGTTCCTCAACACATCACCTACTTCAGCCTGCAAATAAAAAGATACAGGTCAGGACAAACTTCATATTATATATGACATTAAATTATGAGTGTAAACAGAGAGTGTGAATGAAAAACACCCAGTATAGATCAGAACAATCATCTGAGAGTAAACTGAAGTTTTACAACAGGAAGTTCTCTTTTTATAGTTTATCATGGCGCACATCTGTTCTGCCTCTAAAGGAACTCACCTGGGAACCTTTCATCCAATACCTTTAAAACATACAGTAAATACACATAAATGAAAAATAAACTAAAGTTATGTTTGACTGGATGACAGCAGTGGCGTCACTACGCCTATTTTAGGGGGGCTGGAGCCCCCCTAAAATATTTTAAAGCCCCCCTAAATTATTTTAGTGTAAAAAATATGTATATTTTTCAAAAATTCAATATGATGTGGTCAGAATAAATAACCATTTAATATTTCATTATTAACTAAAATATATGATCATAAAACTGTCAGTTTCCCTTTAATTTATAGTGTAAGGTACGGATCCTCTTTGTTACGTTGTTATCCAGTCCATTCCACTTGTTCATATAGAGTACCCCCCCACCACATGAAATCCAGTCTGTTTTCCTGCAACCTTAACAGCAACATGCTAACAAGTTTACACACTGTAAAAAATGAAATGTTGGATTTACTTAACCATGTTATGTGACCTGGTTCCACTTAACTGAGTTGAGTAAATTCACATCAATATACCAGTTTTTTAGCCAAAGAACATGAGTATGTTGCTTTGAATTTACTCAACTCAGTTAAGTGGAACCAGGTAACATAACATGGTTAAGTAAATCCAACATTTCATTTTTAGAGTGCAGCTAAGTGCAGCATGAAGTCTCAGTGAGCAGACCAGGAGGATGCTCAGTGAAAAGTACATATAAAAGTTTTTCAAGAAAGAAAGCATTAATCATCACTGCTGGTAGTAACCATAAACAAAGAGTAGATAGACGGACCGGTAATCTGCTGTCGAGCCACGGGGCCGCCATCTTGGAAAAGTCATTTGCTCAATGAAGTATCAGCCTGTTTAATTAATCATAACTCGC